CGCCTAGGCCGCGTCGCGCTGCTCGGCGAACGTGCTCGACCTGACCGCGCGGGAGGCGGAGGCGGCGGCGGAGGCGGAGCGGATGCGGAGGGAGGCGGAGGCGCGGCTGGTGCGCGAAGGCGAGGAGGCGCATCGGAGGGCGCAGGCGGACGAGCCGCGCCAGCGCCACATGTCCAGGACACGTCCGTGACATGTCCGAGACATGTCCAGGCGGAAGAGCTGCGCCAGCGCGCCGAGGCGCTCCGACGACAAGCAGACGCACTCAACCCGCACTCGGCCGCACACGCGCACAGCGCCGCCGCCGCCGCCGCCAGCCCTCCACCCGCCACCGACCCGTTTGGCCTCGGCGCGCCGGCTGCGGCTCCCTCCGCCGCGCCGTGTAGCAACGGGTCCGGCGCCGCCGCGCCAACTCGTTTCGCCGCCGACCTCGAGGAGCTGTTCGGTCGGATCCCGCTCGAGCCGACCGCCTTGCTGCGGCTGCGCGCAACGTTCGCCGACAACGACATCGACGGCGTCGACGCGCTGCGCTTGCTCACCGACGCCGACTACAAGGAGCTCGGCCTCTCCCTCGGCGTGCGCCGCAAGCTGATCGCTGCCCTCGACCCCTCCTCCGCCGCTGGGGGGGGGCTGCTGCCGCCAGCCGCGGCGGCGTTGCCGGTCGTGACGCTTGCGCCGCCCATTGCGGGCGCGCTGCCACCGTCGTCGGCGGAAGGGAGCCTCCACGGCAGTCGGGACGGCCTTTCTGTGCCTCTGCTGTCTGAGCTTCACAGCTCTCTTCTCTAGGAGCCTCCACGGACGCCTGAACGGCGACCGCGCGCCGCCCGGCGAGCTGGCCGGTCGCGAGTCGCCAGCCTCGCCGCCGCCCCCGTCGCGGCTGCAGGACGCGCAGCGCACGCTCGAGGAGGGGAAGCAGGCTGCGGCCGGCTACGACGGCACCGGCGGCATCGTTGGCGGCGGCGGCGGCGGCATCGGCGGCGGCGGCCCGCCGTCTGCAGAGCCGGGCGCGTCTCCGCCGCCCGCCCCTCGTGCGCCTTTCGCGGTCGGGTCGCAGGCGATGTACCGCGGCGAGCCCGTCACCTTCTAGGAACTTTCTAGGAACCGTCTAGGAACTTTCTAGGCGATGTACCGCGGCGAGCCCGTCACCGTCACGGCGGCGCACACGGACGACCCAGCCGGCCCGTACTACACCGTCACGCTCCGCAGCGGCGGAGTGCGCGACGTCGACGAGCTCGAGGAGCCGACGCCGGAGGCCATGGCGCGGGCGATGGAGCAGATGCGGCGCGAGCTCGAGAGCATGCAGGCGAGGTCGCCCGAGATCACTCACGAGATCGCCGTCCGCCACGAGATCGCCCCGAGGTCGCCCTGACACCACTCTCTTTCCTACCCCCCCCCCCCCCTCTCCACTTCCCCCCTTCCTTAGGTTGCCGCCGGATCCCCCCCGGGCGTGCTCACTGCGCCGTTCGGCGGAGAGGCGATGGCCCTCGGCAGCGGCGACGCGTGCATGGGGGGCGAGACGCACCTCAACACCGAACTGCATCCCGGCGGTGGCTTGCCTCTGGGCGGAGAGATGGCCTCCGGCAGCGAGCAGGTTGCGCCCTCGGCCTTCAGCTTCCTGGCGGGGGACGGCGGCGGCGGCGGTGTGCGGGAGGGCGGCGGCGGCGCGCTCTCGGCGGACCTCTTCAGCTCGTCGGTCAACGGGGCCGCTGCCGGAGTTGGCGGCGGAGCGCTCTCGGCTGAGCTCTTCGGCGGCGGTGACGACGGCGGTGGCGGCGGGGCTCTTATGGGTGTAGTCGAGCCCGAGCCGGCGGTGGGGGAGCATGCCCGAGGAGGGGAGGCCAACGGCAGCGCATTTGCCTTCATGAGCGGGTGACCGCGCGCTGCTAGGCGGGTGAGGAGTGTCTCCGTCACTCGGTGTGGAGGGGCGGGCTTGGTGCTGGCGCTAGGCCAGCGCTAGACAGGCCGCAAGGCGAGGCGAGGGCCCGAGCAATATAGGAGCCGTAGAAGGCGGAGAGAAAACCCGCTAACCGGCGCGTTCGCCCTCTCCGCGGTCCACGTGCGGCCCTGGTCTCCGCTCTGGTCACGCCTCTCCTCGCCCATGTGTGGAGAGTCGAGAGAGCCGCAGGAGGCCCAGAGCGCTTCCACGATGCGTGTGTGTACATGGCGACGTGTAGAGGTTTGAATAGATTTCCGCTGCCGAGACGTCCCGAGCCACACACCTATACTCTTACTAGACGCGAACGATATATACACACGGCGAGGGGGGCGATCCTCGTGGCGACTACGACCGGCTGCGGTGTGCGGACCCTGGGGCATCTGCGACGTCCGACGAGTAGTAAGAATGTTGGTGCGTTGTCCTGTGAGGAAGCGAGCTGAACACACATCTGCACAGGGGTCGGCGGCCTCGGCCTCGCCCGGCTGTCACGTCCCAGTCGGCTCACCCGGCCGAGGTATCGCTGCTGAAGAATGGGTCCCGCTGGAGCAGCGCAAGCTCTGCGCCGTCGAGCGCCCTCTGCCCAAACTCGACGTCGTCAGTGATGGCCTGTGGCGCGGCGAGAGGTGGGGGCGCATCTCGTCAGAGAGGACACAGCACGTGGGACCGTGAAGGCACAGCGCGCCTGGATCAGCTCGTCGAAGGAGTCGAACTTGACGTTGGACCGCAAAAAGGCGCAAATCATCAGCCGCATCTCGGCCCCGTAAAAGTCGCGGCCGCAAAAGTCGTGGCACAGGTACGCCTCCTGCGAGGGATGGCGAGAGAGGGAGGCAATCGCGCGCGCCGCGGTCAGGGTGGCCGAGGCGCGCGCGGCGCACCACTGTCCGCTGCTTCACGTCTGTGTAGGTCGGGTTCCATCCCATCGAGAGCACGGCCTTGTGCACGGCTTGCGCCTCCTCGGGCAACGTCGGGTCGCGGATGGCGGCCCAGCCGACGTACACGCCCTCGGTGCTCGCGTCGAAACGCGACTCGAACGCCGCCGGGTCGAGGTTCGCCGTCGGCCAGCCCAGCTGCTTGGAGCCGCGCTTGAAGCCCTCGACGACCTTGCCCGTCAGGCGGTGCGGGCCAACAGGGTCGATGACGCGCTGCACGGCGGTCCGGCACATCGACGCTGTCAAGCGAAAGCGCGGGCCGTGTAATCGCGTGAGCTGCGGTGATCCAGAGCGGGCCCAGGTGTCGGATGTGTCCACGAAAAAGAATTTTAGGCGCCCGTGGTGTACCTGTGTTAGTGCCAGTGCGAGCCAGTCCCGTGCCCAGTCCTGTGCCCAGTGTCGTGCGAAAAAGAAAGTCTTCTACGTTGCCTCGATCAACCGTGGATGGAGGGGAAGACGGAGCTCGGGGGCTGGACGAATAACCAGGCTCCGCGCCAACGCACCTTGCTGCGCCCACTCGTCTCGTCTCACCCCCCCCCCCCCCCTTCTCCAGTGGTGCTGGAACGGCGACGACACATCTGACATGACCAACCCAGCCACATGTGAAAGCTACTATGTCCTCAACCCTTACAACGACGTGCAGAACCCGTCGGGCCCGTGGGTCGTGGAGTGCGAGTACAACGAAGAAACGGGACGCGAATCTTGCCCTGTTAGATTGCCCTGTGCGCCACTAGCGCCACCCTGACTTATGCACACATGCACACCTCGACAAATCAATAGTCAGAACTTGTTCCTCTTCATACACGCGTTGAGAAGGGCCCAGAGCTTGTGTCGGATCTGTGTCGGACAAAGATGCTCTGTGTACTGTGAGCAGCAAGTCCTCCGCCTCCCTCCACCTCCCCCACACCGCCGCCGCCGCCGCCCACGCCGCCGCCGCCCTCTCCACCTCCCCCACACCGCCGCCGCCGCCGCTCACGCCGCCGCCGCCCTCCACCTCGCCCACGCCTCCGCCAGCCTCACGCTCCCTTTCCCGCCGCAACCCTCTCCTTCGCCGCCCCTCGCCCCAACCGCCCCCCTACTCCACCCCTCGCCCTCCCCCCCGCCCTACCAAACCACCCACCGCCCGCCCATGCGGACTTCCACCCTCCCGCCGTCCTCCCCGCTTCCCGCCCTTCCGCCCTCGCCATCCCCCCATCTGTGCGTTCCACTCCGCCCGCTCCCTCCCGCTTGGCGCCCATCCCACCCTCCGCCCTCGCCCTCCGCCCCTGCCCCGGCTGGCCTGGGTGGCATCTCCTCATCATCACGCGCCAAGTGGGAGGGAAGTGGACGGGGCCCTGAGCCGACCTAGCCGCCAAACGGAATGGGGCGCACACTCAGCGCGGATCCGCGACACACTCAGGCTCTTTCGAGGTCTCTTGGAGCAGAGCCCCGGCGAGTCCTCGAAAGAGAACCCTGTGGGTGGGGCCTCTACTCGCCAGCCTAGGGTGGGTATATTATTGGACCCAAAAGAATTCTGAAAATAAAAGGCTATCTCAAAAGACAACACAAACAACTCTCTCTCTCTAAAGACAACCGGCCTCATCCTCCTCCGCCCCGCTCTCCGTCGCCGAGGCCCTGACCGCAACGCGATGGCACAATGCGCCGATGCGCTCGGCTCTCCATTCTCTGTGCCTCACCGCGTCGCGGCGGAGGCGGCGAGCACCTCGTTTGCCTGCGGCCCCCGCGTCCGCCGCCACCACGTAGCTTCCATATGCGGCGGGCGCCTGGCAGCCAGCGGCAGCCAGCGGCAGCGAACGCAGTGCCACGGCACTCGACTTCGGCTCTGTGCCAATTCGCCGCCCTCGAGCCCTTCAACTCGTTCCACCAACTCAGTACCCCCCCCCCCCCAATCTCTGCCAAATCTTCTGGTTCCACTTCCTAGATACATAGTTTCCTTCTTCTTCTTCGTGGGGGGATCGCGTCACACCAATCCTCGCTATAGCCTATACCCAACGCGGCCAAAGGATATCCCCCTCGAGAACCTCGAGAACACCCTCGGTGCCACAATCGAGAATCGCGGTGTCACGTGGACGCTCCCTTGCGCGTCTTGTCTGTGCGATGTCCTAAGTCCTAAAGCCGAGACGTCGTGCCTCTCTGGTCCTTTATAGTCCTTCAGCCAGCCATCCTCCGGCTCTGAGCCTCCGCGCTCTTCAGCGCTCAAACGGTCACCCTCTCTCTAGCCGTCCGCCCCCAGCGGCACATTCACCCCCGGCATCGGGGCGGCGCACGCGTCGAAGTGTCGGCAGAGCGCGCGGCGGCCTCGCGCCTTGGGGCAGCCGTCCTTGAAAGCGGCGTGCGTCAAGTCGCCCGACGCCGCCTCCAGCTCCTGGGAGAAGCACGCGGCGGGAGCGGCCACTATCGCCGTCGCCCTGCCCTCCTCCCAGTGGACCTTGCGGTCCGGGCCGGTCGAACGATTGTAGGCTGCGCGAGAGGCCATGTCAACCGACCACCCCAGCACCAGCGAGGCGGCGGCCGCCGTTTCCCTTGCCGCCGTCGCCGCCTCTGCCGGCGCGGACCTCCACTCCTCCGACCGCTGCAGTGAGTAGGCCACCTCGCCAGAGAGGAGGAAGGAGTGCGCGTCCTGCGGAAGGGCAAAGTGCGTCGGAGAGGGAGGACGGCCGCGCGGGACGCCGGCAGGGATGCGGGAGGCGTCAGGCAGAGAGGAAAGGAAGCCCGCACCTTCTCCTCCGACTCCTCCACGTGGTAAGGGTAGCGCGCTGCCGAGTGGCGCACGCGCATACCGCCACGGGCGTCGAACGCCGCATTGCTCGTTGTACTCTCCATTTTGCCATTCGTCACGCCGCCGGCCGGATCGACGTCATTCGCGTTGCTCGCGCGGAGCGTGCCCTCGACAGAGTACCGGACGAGGGCCGCTCCCGGTGCGGGCGCGCGCTGCCCTCTCTCAACAGCGATAGAGCTGCTGGCGGGCCACAGCTCGGCGGCGAGGTCGAACGAGGAGGTACCGCGCGTCTCGACACGGAACGAGCGCGCCCCCGCGCGCCCCACCGTCTGAACGAGGCGCGGCGGCGAGCGGCTTGCTCGGAGGAGGCGACCGGCGAGAGGCTCCGAGCCGAGCCAGAGGAGAAGGACCGGGTCCAAATACCAAACGCCCTTGGCACCTGCGGGCGCGCCAGTTTGAGATCTGCTACACTAGGCCTCCCGGGCGAGATTTCGTGGCGGCTCGCGTGGCAGCCAACCGCTGTGGAGAACGCGCGCGGTGATCGTGTGCAGGAGGCCGTCGTTAAGGAGTGGAAGTAGCGGCGAGAGGTCAAAGGTAAGCGGCGGGACATTGAACTGCTGGATGCCGGCCAGGGGCCGCCAAAGCGTCGGGCAAACGCCGCCCGAGTAAATGGTTGGAAACGGGTAGGCGGCGCCGGCGACGACCCCATCAACGAGCACCTGAGAAAGCGATTTTGGGGCAGCTGCGGACGGGGCCGTAAGCTCGAGACGCGGCCCTGTGGCGCGCCTCTAGTTCCCGGTACGGGCCCCCGCCGCACGTACCACTGCTGCTGTTGACGAGGGCATCAGGCACGTTGGTGTACCAAAACTCCTCGCATTGGTGCGCAGACGCAAAGAGCAAGACCCGAGCCTGGACCGCGTTACGTCCAATCACGCTCATGACGCCTGAGATGTTGCGTTTGCGCCCTGCGGCCATGGCAGCCCATGGGGACGTGGGTGCGGTCACATTGCTGCTCCCGCCCGCCTCCCTGCTACGCGCTGGGTTGGCAAGCGGGATCACAAGGTCCGCGGGAGCCTCGGTGGTCAGTCCGTCGTCAAGCGAGCGGCCCTACAGGATGATATGGTTTTTGGACAAATCCCGAGGACGCGCAGCGAGGACCAGTGAGGTCGCAGGTCGCCGGCTCAAAGCTCAAGCTGACAGAGATGCTGAGTGCACCAGTGTAGGTCGAGTCGACCACATTGGGGATGCTCAGCGTTGCATTCATCGGCTCGCCGCTTGCGAGGAAGGAGCCATAGACCGTCACGTCGCGCGCGATGTGCCAGTCGATGCCCGCTGGCGAGGGCTCTGGGGTCTGCCGGGGCGAGACAAGGGCGTTAGAGGTGGTAGAGGGTAGGCAGGTGTCAACCATTTCTAAGTCTGAAGCATAACAACGGCAACCGTCGTGCGAAGCAGCTCGACGCCGCCGATCCAGAGTGCGCCATATCGGTCGAACTGGACACCCCTCACAGACCCGTGCATGCTGAGCACGACCGACGACCATGGAGCGGAGCAAGCGCCCGTAGGCGTAGAAAAGGGCGCGGTCGCGATCTGCAATGCGGCGCAGGAGCGGGTGTATGGGTGTGGATTGGCATGAGCGGGAGCGCGCGCGACGGCATTTGCCTGCCCATACGCTGTTAGCAGCACACCGCTAAAGAGATGAACCGAGCACTGTGATGGCAGCTGCGAGAGAGCAGGCCCAGCGGCGATAGGGCTGGTGTAGTTCGGATACGCCCGCAAATTCGCTCGCGGCAGAGAGAAGGCGCCGGTGCTTGACCAGGGCAGGTTGCCGACCATCTGAGGGCCTTCACGCTAGACGTTTCATCGACGGGCGGCGCCCAGGTCCCCGGCGGCAGCGATAAAAAGAGACTCAAGAAGATGGTTGGTTCCGTCGGCCGTGGTGGCCTGCTCACACGAGCAGCTGGGCGCGGTGCGGGTCGACGCGTGAAGCCCCGCGGGCAGAGGAGGAGCAAATATGCCGGGCGGCGGTGTTCGTCTCTCTGTGTGGGGCGGGGCTGGCGAGTCACTCCCACGCCTCTCGGGATTTTTATATTACCCAAAAGCTAGGCTACACAACGCCCTCTATGTTTGGTCTCGGGATTTTATCTGGTGGCGTCAACCCCGGACGCTGGGGCGAGCGCGCGAGCCTCGGCGAGAGAGCACACCCAGCACAGCTACAGCAGCAGCAGCAGCAGCACTGACTGCAGCAGCAGCAGCAAGCAGACAGTCAGCAGACTGCCGGTATTGATTGATTGAGAGAGAGATTTTTAGAAGCCAACAAGAAATGATGGGAAGGCGAAACACAGTCCGACCAACGACTGGGACATCTGAGGGCCTTCACGCTACACCCCGGTGCGACTTAATGCGCATTTCTTCTCTGCACTCTCTCTCGAGGTTCTCGAGGTGGATATCCTTTGGCCGCGTTGGGTAGCGAGGATTGGTGTAACCCGAGCACTATAGCCCTTGAGAAAAAGCTCGCATTATGCAAACCTGTGCCTGTGTCCTCGCGCTGTGGGTCCCCCTAGCTGCGGAACGCCCCCTCTACTCGGAGCTATAATACGAGAATACTCTCCGAGGGTTGGCCCGTGTACCAGGTTTCCCCTTAACTGCAGACGCCCCCTCTACTCGGAGCTAGTGTGATACGAGAATACGCACCGTCCCCACGCAATACCTTACTCGAAGATAATACGAGAATACGCAGCTGCGAGGCACCTGTCGAGCAGCTTCCGCGGCGAGCAGCTTCCGCGGCCGTGGGGCGTGGGGTGGGGTGGGGGGGGGGAGGGGAGCGGAGAGGGAGGCGGCGGTGTAGGGGCGGCGAGAGAGAGGATTAGGGAAACGGCGGCGGGGGGGGGGGGGGGGGGACCACCGAGGTAGGAGGGGGAACCGCCAAAAAGGCCGTGGAAGTGGCGGGGGCCCGGGGGGCCAAGGGGGGGTCCGTAGGGGAGGCGGCCAAAGGGGGGGGGGGGGAAAAAAAAAAAAAG